TTTTTTTTTTTTTTTTTTTTTTTTTGGGATCAATCTCTTCGAACATAAATTACTTTGATGATTTTTTTTCCCTTTTCAGGTAAAAGCCAAGAACTTCATTAATTAATTTGATAGATATTTAAATGACTGATTGTTCATTTTGTTGCATGTATATATTGAATGCCTTTGAGTAAAAGCCAAGAACTGCATTTATAGATTTGATAGATTTAGATGACTGATTAATCATTTCATTACATCTATAAGTTGAAGGCTTCCATAGTCCTTTCACATTGCCTTTTTTATGCTAATTTCAATAGACATTTAGCTTTGGTAAAATTGTCACTATCATGTTATACAAAAATTACTTCATCACTTCTTTTGCATTAACATCAATGTCTAAGCTTTATTTTTCATGATCATTTCTTTTTGGAAATAGGTACTGGATGGTCCCCTTCCTTGAGTGGTTATAAAGTAACCCATATTTTTCATCAAGATGTTGTTATGAGACATCATTGTGACTACTAATATTTATTGAAGATAGAGTTATTCATAGAAATCTTGATTTGTCGCTGTACAGGGTTTAGGGAAGCATCTGGTCTTTACAGATCTTATTTTATTCTGAAAAGACTCATTTAAATCCTCAAACAACAGATGGACTAGTTAATTTCGTGGAGCAACAAACCACCCAGTGTCGTATTTATTTTATGCAACCAGCAGTGGATGAAATAAAGAGACGATTTTAAATGAGGAAAAAGTTTTGTTGATTTAAACTACATTAGGAATCATCTTGTGCACTTTTTCTCCACATAAATTTTTTTAGCTTAAGATAAATTCTTTTTACGAGGCATGTACAAAAAGACCTAGCTCATCTGTCATCTTATAAATAATTCTGAATCTATTGATTTCAATGAAAATATTTTTCATGATTGGGGCCTTCAGAACTGATTATAAGACATCTATGATGCCATAATTAGACGCTCACTGAGGAATCTGGGAAAATTTTTTTGCTTCTGAATACTAATTATTTAGAGTCAGTTGCATTATTGAGTACCAGATTTCTGGAAGCTTCTGATTAAGTCTTTGAAGTCACAAGATACATTGCATAACACAGCCACAAATCTGTGATGGAATTGAATTCAAATGAATGATTCGGAGTTGCTTTCATATTATTGTACTATTCGTTTGATCAGCGATGGCCAGGCTTGGGGCTAGATGCTTGTCTGCAGTCGGTGCTTATGATAACACATTGGACATAGTGGAGACATTAGATACTGCCCAGGCCAAATTTGATGATGTTCTGAACTCTCCTTCAGTTGATGTGGCATGTGATAAGATTAAAAGCCTTGCAAAGGCAAAGGAACTTGACTCTTCTTTGATCCTATTAATAAACAGTGCTTGGGCTTCAGCAAAAGAGTCAACAACCATGAAGAATCAGGTATGGGTGACAGTTTGCATTATTTTCTCTTGCAAAGGAATTCATACTAAGTGCTTATGCTAATGATACATAGCACTTCTGAATCACGGATTGTGTTGTCTGGTATTTAAAGAGCTTGTATTTTTGTTTTGTGCCTTCTCTATATCATGGACTTGTGGCTAGAAGCCAAGAACATCCAAAATGCACAGACATTGGGTTTGCAAAACTGATTCATTATGTTGCCTGGTACTGGGACTTGATCACTACCCTAGTGAGTATACTCATATCATTCTGAGTGCATAGAAAAGCTTCATATGATAATGGTCTGTAACACTTCTTTTGAATCATGGATTGCAATATCTGATGTTTAAAGTATAATTTTCTAAAGCTCACTTCGTACAAAGTTATGGAGTCGAAATAACCCGTCACCTGTCATTGTTTCAGAGGTGATTTACCTTTAGTTTTGCCCAACATAATTTTACCTCCCAAATGTTGTAATTATGCTCATAACCCCCTTATGATGTTGGAGCAAAGTGTAACCGCTGGTTTTATCATCCAAAGTGACGGAATGTATAGTTCACTTGCTAAAATCGTGTTGTGGGCATTGAATTATACATGGTTTCCCTCCAAAAAGCTCATGATCAATGTCTAAAATGCCCCAGACCCTTTTAGTCTTCCTCAACTTCGTTTTATTTTGTTTCAGTTCTTTTTCTATTCTTCTGCAACCTGTTCTCTTTACAATTCCTATTCACATCTTTGTCACTTAAATGATTTTGGGTCATACCATATATGGGTTAAATGAATTTTCATACCCCATATCTTTGAAAGGTTTGAGATTGAACTTGAAATTGAAAAATTGAATTGGGTGTTAGAAGATCTGCAGTATGTGCAGGTTTAGTCCATCTAGGCATTTTGTAAACAGTGAGATTGAGACAAACTGCGAGCTTAAAGAAGCTCTTGTGAGTGGTTCTCACATCTATAATGACTCCATAGGATATTTCAATCAGGACGCCATCACAATACTTACTGATGGGGAATGGTTTGTCCAGAAGCACACTCCTCCTTGGCAGTGGATCACACTCATTGTCATGGCAAAACAAGCATGGTCAATGCTAGTGGAAGTTCCATTAGCTCCATGCACTCTATGCAACAATCTAGGAGGCTCATTTATTTGCACCCACAGAAACTCTAGGAGTTCATTTCCATGCCCTCTACCCTATCTCTCTCTCTCTCTCTCTCTCTCTCTCTCTTCTCTCTCTCTCTCTCTCATTATATATAAATACATGAGAAAAACAAAAAAGGAAGTAGAAGAGGACAAAGAAGAAGCAAAATTGTCATTTTCTTGTTTTCATTAATGATGTTATGCTTTTCACTTTGGGCCAGAATCATTAGAGGGTTATGAATATAATTTTAATATTAGGGAGGTAAAGTTATTTTTAGTCTAGCCACAAGGATTAAAAAAAAAAAATATGTTTTTTTAATACCTACAATGAAATGCCTTCATGGACCTTTTTCTGTTATCAATTTTTTTTCTGGCTGGGGTTGGGAGGAGCCACATTTTTGTTGGCATTCTTTGAAATCCTGAAAATGAATCACATAAGAATCTGATGAGGCATTTTACTTAATTGAAAAGTGTGTACAACACAATGGATTCTACTATTGAAAGATAAATGAGATACAATATAATCAAGATGCACAAGCTCCGTATAGTTAAGAAATTATGATATACTATGAAGTACCAAAAAGGTGAAGCTATTATATTGTGATTTATCACACTTTGCTATAAATGATTTCAGAAACCGTCTTGTAAAAAAAGACCAAATGTTATTGTAAAACCTCGGAGTTAATGATGTCCACGCTTTGACCTCTGCTCAATCTTCACATGCAAAGTGATCATTTTTTTTTTCTTTCAAAAAGTAGGTAAAGGTGGATTTTACCGAGTCTCAATTCATTACTTGTTTATTTCATACTTAAATGTAAAAGATACAAACCACCCGCACACTGTGGGCAGAAATGTGTCATAATTTGAAACATAGGTTCCAAAACGCAATTTGGTAACATGTTTTGAATTGTACATTCGAAAAACAATCTCCTGAATATTATAGCTTCTATAAACTCTGGTCTGGATACTCAAATCAGTGGATATAAATGCTAGATGTTCCCCAAAACATTTAAATTCATTCAGTTGAGCTTTGGCTGCTTGATTTGACTTTTATACTTTGATTCTGATATGCAATGCTTGTATTCTTCTATCCTTGAGCTTAAACATACTGTTGCAGGTGAAAGACATAATGTATCGGCTATACAAAGCCACACAGAGTAGTCTGAGGAGTATTGCACCAAAAGAAATAAAGCTACTCAAGTATTTGCTGAACATCACTGATCCTGAAGAGCGATTCTCAGCATTGGCAACAGCTTTCTCCCCAGGTGACGAGCATGATGCCAAGGACCCCAGTGCCATATACACGTAAGAGAGATTCACCCCACTGCAGATAAAGTATACAAAAATTGTTAGTGGAAAAGTTGGGTTTTCTGCTTACAATTTAATATTTTGAGAAATATTTTCATCTTTTGCGAGCAGGACTCCCAAGGAGCTACACAAGTGGATTAAGGTCACGCTTGATGCATACCATCTTAACAAAGAAGAGACGGAGATCAGGGAGGCAAGGCAGATGACCCAACCAGTGGTTATTCAGAGGCTTTTCATCCTGAAGGAAACAATTGAAGAGGAATACTTGGAACAAGGTGTTAAAGCAGAGAAAGACGCCAAATCAGAGGAGTTGTGATGTGCTGCTCTTTTTCATCACTACATCTACTGTCACTCAGTCTGCTGTCATTATCTGCTAGAGTTGAACTCCAAATTATGTGAGCTGAAAGCTTTCCACCCGGGAGACATATTTGTTTTCATCTCTAAAATGTATCAATTAGCTTGCTTGATTGAGGAGAAGAGAGCTTTGATACTTTTTTTTTCTGGGTTTGTTAGCTAACCTTGTTGTTTCCCAATGGGCAATGGAGGTTAAGAATCCATGTTGCTTGTCGAGTGCAGTGGTAATAGGCATGTTATAGAAGTTCGAATTAAGATGTGCGAGACAGCTACTTAGGTGGTATTTGGGATGACTTATGAAATTTAAAAATTTCATTTCAAACAAGTATTTATCAAAAAGTAACCTCTGTGTTTTCATTTTTCCTGGGGAGGTAGTTAAACTGATTATTTTAAAGATCAGCAAGTTCTGTTTTTACTTCCCCTTTTTCCCTAGGAACGTCTTGATTGTATTTCCATACATTGTAATGCACTCTCTTTCTTTTGATGTAGTTAAAATAATAATGTACGTGGGTTATTAAAATGTTAGTGGTTAAAATATTTACTATAGTTAATGGTTAATAATCAAAATAGTTGTTGGGGTTAAAATATTTTACTTTGCTTAAAATATATGTTGTAAAATTAATCGTTTGATATTGGTAATTTGTATAGTTGTTTTACTTTGTTCTATGAACTTCTTGTTTTGTAATATAGATGGCAAATACATATTTGTGGAAGTCATATGTTGTTGTTTGTGTCGTTTGGGCAAATTGTATTTTATACCCTCATATGTTCAAAAATTCTTAATTTATACTTTCAAATATTAGATTTAACACATTGAACGTTCAATGTATTAAAGTGTTGCAATTTAATCATTTCATTAATTTTCATTACTCATTTTGTCATCTTCAATAGGGTGAATTTTGACGAAATAAACAAAGAAATGGTCACATTATAGTACTTTGAGGGTGTAAAATAAAAAAA